TTACTGGAGATCACCTACATTATTCACCAATAGGTTCCTATTTCACTAGGAGTCATCTGTTTATCTCAACTAGAAATCAGTGTCTCTAATTCTTAACATTCCCCTTATCCCTACCCCATATCCAATTACCAAATCTTGTCAATTTTATTTCCTAAATGTTTTTTTAATCCATCCTCTCCTCTCCATTTCTACTATTTCAGACCCTCCTCTCTTCCCTAAGCAACTACAATATTTAATCTGTCTCCCTCACTCAAACGTTCTCTCTCAACTTATTCCCATTCTGTTACCAGAATGACCTATCTAAAAGGAAAAGCTGACCAAATCACTCCATGAATCCTCCATAGAGCCTACTGCCTAAAAGACAAAATCTAAGCACCTTTAACATGATATATATAGATTCTCCTTGATCTAGTTAGACTCTGTCCAAGTTTCCGGCCTCATATTTCAATACTCCATGCCCTAGTATTTACTCTTCAGCAATCCTGAACTATCTACAGTTTACTAAACATCCCTGCTGCAGTGGGCTCCTCTATTCCTACTGTCTTCTCTGTCTATACGACACTATCTTCCCTCCACCATCTATGCTTCAACCTCTGTAACCCCCATTAAGCCAGTGACATCTTGAGCTGGATAATTCTCTCTTGTGGTTGGCTGTCCTGTTCACTGTAAGATGTTTAGTAGCACCTGTGGCCTCTACTCACTAGATACCAGCTGCACTCCTAGTTGTGACAACCAAAAATGTCTCTAGACACTGCCAAATGTCTCCTAAGGAACAAAATCAGCTCCAGTTAAGAACTGGTCCACTAACCTGCTAGAACCTAGTCTATCACATATACAGATCTCAGGAAGAATATATAAAGAATTGTAACACCAGTTGCCTCTGAGGAAGGCAAATGGGTGACTGAAGTAACTAGAGTAGGAGGGGAAAAAAGCCCTTTTCACTAGTCTTTTATGTTTCTGATCACCTTCTTTTCTCCCTTCTCCTCTCCTCTTTCTCTCCCAACTACAACTAACTCCCAATCAACTCTTCCCTTTACACCCTTCTTTCTTCATTTTTTAAAAGATTTTATTTATTTATTCATGAGGGATACAGAGAGAGAGGCAGAGACACAGGCAGAGGGAGAAGCAGGCTCCATGCAGGACTCGATCCTGGGACTCCCAGATCACACTCTGAGCCAGTGATTCTTTTAAAAAGATTGTAAACTCACTTACTCAAGATCTTCCAGTGTCTTCCCAATCTCACTCAGAGACAAAGCAAAAGCCTTAAGATGAACCTCAAAGGTCTGCCATCCTAATTCTACACTTCTGATCTTTCTTCCTAGTGCTTGTTTTTTATAGGTCAAAAAGGAAAAGAAATTTCATACATTGAATCTGTTAACGTTTCCCTTACTGTATTCTTTCTTGACTCCTTGCTGTTTCTCAAACATGTGAAGGCCTTTGCACCTGCTGTTCTCTGTTTGGGAACACAACTCACCTACATACTCAACATGGCTTACTCCTCAACTCCTTCAGGCCTTTACTTCTCAAGGGGTCTTCCCTGGTCGCCCTATTCTTACCCACAACACCTATTAACATCTAATACATCACATATTATTTCTTCATCTTGTTTATTGTCTCTTTTCTCCATCTTGTTTGTTGGTTCTCAAACCTGAGTCTGCATCAGAATCACCTGAAAGTCTTTTTTAAAAGTTTCTGAATCAAGAGGTCTGGGGCTTGATATAAAAACAGCCTGAAAATGTGGATTGCTAACAAGTTCCCAGATGATGCTGATACTGCAGATCCAGGAACCACATTTTGTGAACCAACGTTTTAGAACATAAGCTCCTCCAGGACAGAGATTTTTGTCTGCCTGTTTGCTTTCTGCAACCCAGTTTGGAGTTAAGCACTGAGATAAGTAAATGACAAGGAAATTTGCATGTCCCCTACACTGCTGCCACCACACCCTCTGATTTGGTCTGCCACATGGTGCTAAAAATTTGCTGAACACTGTAGAAGATAAATTATGTGACTGTGGTGGGTTGTGTCCCCCCACCTAACCCCAGTACTTATAAGTGGGGCTTTGTTAGGAAATAGGGTCTTTGCAGATGTAATCAAGTTAAGATGAAGTCATTGTGGTACACCCTAATCCAATATAACTGGTGTCCTTATAAAGAAGGGAGAATGCCATATGAAAAGACAGAAAGAATGGAGTGGATGGAGTGATATAGCTGCAAGTCTACCAGTGACATGAGAAGCTAAGAGACACGAACAGATTCTCCCCTAGAACCTAGACACCATGGCCCTGACAACACCCTGATTTCAGAATTCTAGCCTCCAGAACTGAGATTATAAATTTCTGTGTTTTAAATCACCCAGTTTGCTACACTTTGTTATGGTAGCCCTCGGAAACCAATATAAGGACCAAGAATGCAAATAACCACACCAAGCCACACATGATTTCAAATTCTGGCTATTCTCTTATTTCCATCAGTTTAAGTGTTTTAATACACGGCCTTAGTTGTAAATTAATCAGGTTTCCCGTCTCAAAATCTCTCCCACTTAACATCGCCTCTCCTGCCTTCAATGTGCAAGATAGCTCATACTAGAGGTTCTAGATAATTTGAGGTTTTTTTGTTTGTTTCTCCTACCTTCTTTTGTACTTCTCTATTTCACAAACATCTTTTTTTTTTTTCTTTCCCTCCAAGGGACATTTCTTATTTTCACACATTATACATTTAGGTATGTATTTTCCCCTTGGCCATTTGAATTAGTTGCAAAGCGAACCTTTAAGTACACATTAGATATGCATTTAGATTTAAAATAAAATGCTATCTTCTCTTTTACAGAACAGTTCTCCATTTTTTTCTTCTCTTTCTTCCTTCTTGTAAAAGAATGACCTTATTTCTAATGAATTTTGGGTAAAAAAAATTTTGTCAAACTTTTCTTTCCATCTCATTATAGTTTTGTACACTAGTGTCTTTATTCAAATCTCAACAAATCTCCTAAAAGTAACATGGTGGTATTGTGAAGCTTAAAATTTTAAATGTATCTGAAATTAATTTCATCAAGTTGTCCCTTTTCCATTTAATTTTTACAGCTGCAATGTCACATAGATTCTGATCAATAATTTCATCACACAGACTCTATTTTAAATTACCATGACTTACAAAGTTTATAAGCTATAAAATGCAATTTTTTTCTTAGCACAAATCAATATACAAACAGTAAATAGCATACGCCTAGATGACACAGTTTTGTATTTCTAGGACTGAGTGAAAATTAATCCATTGTATGTACTACTAAATAAGAATGTGGTAAAATTCGAAGAATTTCTGGATATTACATTTATTCAGAAATATATATAGACTAGTATAACTTAAGCCAAAAAAAGCATATCTGTTTTTAAATGGGTATTAAGCACAAAGTAGTTTTAAAATGCTGAAGCCTAAATCAAAAGATACAGAAAAACACAAATCACAGGCAAATTTAAGAGAGATGCTTAATAGTTCTCCACTAGTACTGAAAAACCATGTTTCTTATGAAGAATTTTAAATGAGTCATACTTTCCTTACTAAATCACTGTTTTACTTAACATATGGTGAAGAGTTAACTGTTTGGTAGTTTGAAACTTTATATTCACTTAAAAGTGAACATCAATACATACTAAGGCTAGTGAAAAATAAGTATAGCTTACTATACACAACACTTAGAACACAGAACATCATGTGTATAAGGTTCACTTGACATTTACCTGCTAAGGGTATGGAAAGCTGTCTAAATCTCTCTCAAGAAGTCTGGTCCCCACTACCTAAACCAACACCGGAATGAAACAAATCGAAATATGCACAACTTTTTCCTGGCACCCAGGCCGAGCTGTCTACATTCTGTGCCTAACTTTTAGTAAATGAACATATTTCTGTCCCAATTACATTGGCCTAATTATTCACCTTAATGCGTTAAAAGTTCTACCTTTTATAACTCTTTAATTCATAGCGAAGTCAATTCACGGTTAGCCTAAGAGTCTCCAATCTGAAAAGCGTTAAAAAGATCTGTTTACAAGACCTACATAACGAATCTAGAGAACTAGATTATAAACCCAATCAACTCTTCCAAAGCACGTGGTGCTTTCTTTCTTATTATTTTTTTTTATCTTAAAAAACAAGAGAGTAAGAGCTAGGGAAGAATCAATCCCCGTTCCCAAATTACGTTCCTCTTTTAAGAGCATACAATTTCTCCAAATTCAAAACTGTGCGGCCAGCCTGCCAGCACCTACTACTCGTGTCACACTAGCGCGGACCGGGGGTGGGGGTGGGGTTGAAAACTCTTCCTCCTTCTCCAATGCAGCAAGGAGTCCAACGCACCTGGCTTTGCTCGTTCCGCCAGAGGCAGTGAAATTTAAAAAAAATAAATAAATCAGCCACGGACAAACCTGACGATCCAAGAAAGCCCCGAGGAAGTCCCCCGGCACCTGTGGAAGACGCCCTCTCTTCCGGCACTCGGGCTGCCCCGCAGCCCCAAGGTGCCCACACCTGAGCGCGGAGGCCGACCTGAGCCCCGGGTCTCGCCTGACGCACGCGTCAGAGGGGGGCGGGCAGGAGGGCCCCGCGGGCAGGACCCGCGGGCAGGACCCGCGAGCGGTCCGGCCGCCACCCGGGCGCAGCCCGGCGCCTCACTGCTGCCGCCCGACGGCAGGCAGCGCGCGAAGAGGAGCTGAGGGGCGCCAGCCGGCCGAAAGGAAGAAGCCACCGCGAAGAGGAGGCTCCTCGTCCGCAAAATAGCGGCCCGGGGAGCAGGCGGCCCCCGCGGCAGTTCGCAGAGGCGCCGGGAGCAGGAAGTACCCCACGCCTCCCTCAGGAGCCCACACGTCCCCAGCCCCGGCGGCGACCCCCCGAGACACCTGTTTGGCGGCGCCCGGGTCTGCCTCCACCCGCTGCGCGCCCCCAGCACACGCTCGGGGCGGGGAGCGCGAGGGGGAGCCGAGACCTCGGACCCGCAGCTGAGGGCGCCTCCGCCGGCCGTACCTGACATCAGCCGCGGCTCCCTCACGCCCCTCCGGGGGGGCGGAGAGGGGGACGACTCGAGACCCGCAGCCTTAGCTCCTCCCGGCACCCGCAGAAGTGGCTCGTGGCCGCTAGCGGGGGCCGCCCGCTGCCGCCCAGATTATTCCCTGGCGGCGGCGGCGGCGGCGGCGGCGGCGGCGGCGGCGGCGGCCGAGGCGGGCCCAGCTCGCCCTCCGTCCCGCCCGCTCGCTCCGCCCCTCCCCGCAGCGCGTCCAGGCCGAGGCCCGCCGACGGCGCAGCCGCCACCCTGGGGTCTCCGAGAGCTGACGTCGCCGCCGCCGCACCAGCCCCGGGGAAGGGCGGGGCGAGAGGAGGCCGGGTGGGGGCGGGGCCGCGGCGACGTGCGGGCGCGGGGATTGGCCGCCGAGCTCACGCCCCGCCCCTCTGCGAAGGGGTCTGGGAAGTCGGGTCTTCCACCGGCGGTAGTCGCAGCCGGCTCGCGGCTCTGCGCTGCCGGCCTCGTCCTTCCTGCTTTTGCGGTGGGGGCTTTGCGCTGGCTTCCGGACCCTGAGAGACAGTGACTGAGGCTGGAGGTTCCGGAGGGACCTCTGGGTGAGGAGCAGGCCCGCCTACTCCATTTTCTCCTGTCCCGCACTCCCCCCACCCCCCAGGTACTCTCTCTGGCCTTACTGAAAGGAAATGCAGGAAGGTGAGGTCTGCAAACGGGAGCCGGGTGACCAGATGCCTGAACCTGAAAGGGGTGAAAACATGGTGGTACCACAAAACCTGTGTGCACGTGGTTGGGTTCTCTCATTCCTTCGGAGCCGTCAGGCAAGTCTAGAGCGGCCTGGGGGCTTTCTAAAACTCGTCTTCCTTTTACCTGGCGAAAGGACTTTGAATCAGAAAGTGGTTTTTGGATTATAGAAAGGAGCCCGTGAGCCATTGAGGCAACCCCACAACAGTCAGGAAGTGGGAATAAGGTCTTGGCTTTCACCATCATCGACAAGGCCTTAGCTTGAGGATGCTTCTTTTATTTTTATTTATTTTTAAAATATTTTATTTATTCATGAGAGACACATGGCAGAGGGAGAAGCAGGCTCCATGCAGGGAGCCCGATGTGGGACTTGATCCCAGGACTCCAGAACCATGCCCTGGGCTGAAAGCAGGAGCTTAACCGCTAAGCCACCCAGAGATCCCTCATCCTGCTTCTTTTAAAAGCCCTTCTTAGTCCGTTTTTTTTTTTTTTTTTTTTAATGCCTTTCAGCATAATCTTTAGGAGCTTGGGCTCTGGGCTGGAATCTCGGTCTCTCCACCTATTTGCTGTGCAACGTTGGCAAGTTACTTAACACGCCTCGGAGAGAGAATGAACAATGAATATAAGTTATTGTTGTTCTTTTTCCCTTAATTTGTTTAGATTCAGCTCTAGTGTAGTTTGCCATGATATGCCACTAACAGATCCAAGAGAATCTACCAAAAGAATTTAAGTGCATCTAGTGATCCTTAAACCTTTTATCCTGGGTGGGTTCAGTTGATTTAGCATCTGCCTTGGCTCAGGTCCTGATCCCGGGGTCCTGAGGATCCAGCCTGGAATGGAGCTCCGTGCTGGGGGGGGGGGGGGCTGCTTCTCTTTCCGGCCCTCCCCCCCCACTCGTGCTTTCTCTCTGTCTCTCAAATAAATAAAAGTCTTAAAAAAAATTTTTTTATAAACCTTTTATTTTTCAGATGAGGAAACTGAGGTCAGAAAGATAAACTGATAGGCCCAAGCTAGAAGTGCAAGTATCCTGATGTTCAGGTTAGTGCTCTTTTCCTGGCCCATGCCTCTAGACTTCTCTCCTTGTATCCTTACCTGTATCCTCTTCCCTTTCCTCCAACTTGTGTATAGTGAATTGCCCAGCCTCATCCCCTTCTCTTCCACAACCCACTGTAAAACAGGAAAAGGAAACCCTGCCAGAGATCACAATGTTCCAAATAGAAACCGAAACAAATATAAACTCAAGATTCTTTACCTCATTTTAATCTTACAGAAATTTTTAATGAGTAAGGAACAACTTTGCTTTTTCCATTGAGCAAAGATAAGAAATCCTTCCAAAGATAAGCTGAGACAGCATGACTCAGAAAATTACTGGCAGGAAACAATATTGATAGGAACAAAACCAGATCAAGTAAGCCCCTCCCACCCTTTGGGTATTTGAAAATAGCTGTTTTTTTTTCATGAAAAGAATACATAGTTATTCAAACAAATGCAAAAAAAATTATCCAAATCCCATAATCCACAGATAACGATTTATAAAAGTGTATGTTGCATTCTTTCAGATATAAAAAATAACACATAAAGACATGTAAATACAATATTTCATAAAGTGGATTTTAGTATGTATATATTTCGTTTCTCATTGAACAGTATATCATAATATCTTTTTTTAAAGATACATGGATGTACTATCATTTATATAACCAGTATTCTATTGCTATTTGGTTTTTTTCCCCCGAATTTTAATATAATAAACAACTCTGATGAACTTTATGCACATACTTTTGCACAACTCTATGATTATCTACTTGGATAGTCTCCTAGAAGTGACCTTAATGTCAGCCAATTCTTCAATGTTATCAACTAGAAAAAAGAAAGTTGTGATTACTTTGAAAAATACACTTTATATATGGGACTCAAAATGACTAGATTCTCCCGTTTGAAACACAGATAAATCTTGGACAGTATATTTGTCTGGTGTGGTGTTTCAGTAATGTGTGTCAAAACTTGTTGAAGCAGAATATTGTGTGTTGAGGCTTTTTGGAAGCAGGGTGGTAGACACTGCTAGCTGTTTAAACCAAAATCCTTTCTTCCTTACTAGCAGGACTCTGATTTTTTTTCAGGGTGACAGTGTAGTCTAGTTAAAAATATTTACTTCTCCAGATTTCTGTAAGCCATGGCTGGCTGTGTGACTGACTGATCAATAAAATGAAAATGGGTATTTTTAGGAGAGGCTCAAAGCTTTATGGAAGAAATGTCCTTTTAGCCGTTAGACCTGTACCCATTTTTTTTTCTCACCTGGAACAGTGCATGATGCCAGAAGTGGAGCAGCCATATTTCAACCATAATAACCAAAGACCCACAAATGTTAATAGCGTAGGAAGCCAGAGGTGCCAGGGTTTGTGATTGCTCTGGAAGGCCAGCTAATTGGCTCCGGACCATCCATTTCTGGATTTATTGTTATGTAAGGGAGAATAAATCCCTCCTATTTAAGGTTTTGTTACTTGGGTTTTCTGTCATAAGCAATGAATGCAACTCCTAATAACACAGCAAGATAGGAGAAGCCAGCATTTACTTAGTGTTGTATGTAGAATTTTTTAATAGAATAAAATGAAAATGGGGACACAAAATGGAAACAACCACCAAAAACCACTCTCTAATGCACTTGGTTTCCCTTTAATTACCCAAATGTAAAAAAAAAAAAAAAAAAATTTATCCAAATGTTACAATGAGATTAACAAATCATTTTGTAATAATTAGATTAAATTCTGTATATAAAATGACAGTCACTGATATAGTGGTTTTAAAATATGTCCACAAGTTCTTTGATGTTTCTTCCCTCAAACAGTGGGACTTAATCCCTCTTACCTTGAGTCTGGACTGTGTTTAGTGACTTTTTCTTATGAATAAGATGTAGAAATGATGCAGTGTAACTTCTTAGAGGAGATTATAAAACATATGCCAGTTTTCTTCTTCTTTCTCTGGGACTGCTTGCTAGTCCCAGTCATCTGGGAAAGATGGTTGTCAAGTCATAAAGACTCTCAGGCAACTTTATAGAGATGCCCACATTATAAGTAGTTAAGACTTCCCACCAACAGCCAGTGAGGAACCAACAACTCTTAACAGCCATGTGAGTGAACTTGGGAACAGATGCTTCAGCCCTAGTCAAGTCTCCAGATGACTGCATCCCTCATCAACATCTATACTGACCTTCAGAGAGATCCTGAGCCAGGAACACTCCATTAATCTGCTCCCAGGGATCCCTGGGTTTAGCGCCTGCCTTTGGCCCGGGACATGATCCTGGAGTCCCGGGATCAAGTCCTGCATCGGGTTCCCTGCATGGAGTCTGCTTTTCCCTCCGCCTGTGTCTCTGCCTCTCTTTCTCGCTCTGTGTGTCTCTCATGAATAAATAAATAAAATCTTTAAAAAAAAATCCCCCAAATTCCTGGCCCATAGAAACTGTAAGATAATACAGGTTTGTCTCTTTAAGCCATTAAATTTTGGGATAATTTGTTATGCAGCAAAGAAAACTAATACAGGTGGGTATAATAGAGCCTAGAACGATGGCTGGCATTTAATGTAGGTGTTTAATGATTTCTTGTTTGAATGAACAAACCAGTGAAGTGAAATATGTTTTTTTCACTTTGAAGAATAGCATACATTGCTAGTATTGTCTTTGCTCCCTGACACCTGTATTCTATAAGGGTTTTCTGATGTGACCATAGAGAAATCATTGTGAATCTTACTATAAATGTCGACAATTCTGGAGGAAACATATAGTGAATAGAGCGGTGGAACCCTTGAGATCTGGATAATGCTCCCAATTTTTTCACTGACTAGCTGAATGGCCCATGGCAAGTCATCCAAATTTTCTAAATCTCAATTTCTCTATCTGTAAATTGGGGGAAATAATCCCAGCCGACCTCAAAAGGTGGTTAATCAGATTATAGGTGAAAGTGTAATTGAAAAGCATTGACATTCTTTTAATTTCATTAGGCTCATGAGATCTATTTTATTTTTAAGCAATTAAGTATTAAATATTTAAGGTGTATACACCATGAAGAGCTTTCTTTCAAGAGGTGATAACTTATTACCGATTTTACTGTGTACCTTTGTAAAATACTAGCATCATTCATAGCAAGCAGTTAAGATTTAAGAGTATGGTAGGATGGTAGGTTATTATATGTCAGATCTCATTTTATTAGCCTGTTGAAAATTTATTGCACTTTAAAAGGAATACATAATTATGACTGCTTCCTTTTCCTTTTCATGAATTAATTTGTAATTGCAGTTGGGTGTGTGCCCCTCTTTGTGGCAACAGTGGTAGTTAAGCATACTTTGTAATAAACATACATTTAACCAATAATTTGGTCTGAGTCTAAGAGTTTATCCTAGAGCTAAATTGCAGCCAACAGGAAGAAAATAAATTATAGAATATATGTCTTTCTCTTTCAGAGAGGAAAACTTGGGCACATAGGGAAGTCTTTATTTAATGGAACGCCAGAGATGCAATTATTGACAATGCACAGTTTGGTGGTGTGGATGAGCTCAGAGATAAATATATGAGGATGAGTAAGATAGAGCTTTAGTGTAAGATTCAAGCCCTGATTATGTAATGGATGAATTATCCAAACTCCCTGGTTTTATTGTATTGTTCTTTCTTTCTGATATTCAGTATGACCCCACATCAGCTGAAACTACTTGCTTAACTATCATCAGGTTATTTGTAGTTGATGATTCCTGCTACCTACCATCTTTATTAACTTGAATAGGAAGAAGAAAAATTCTAGGAAAAAAAGGACAGATCTTACTTTTCTGGTGATGGTAGGGCTTCTAATTTCATATTGAAGATAACCTGCCAAGATAAAGTATTTTCATCCTACAGAAACTAAAAGAGCATTTGCAAACAATTTTTATTCCTTGTAGCTACATCATCACAAAATCTACCAAGATTTTGAGACAGTTGGAAACACTAATGTTATTTTCTAAGTTGGTTGACATGTAACAGGGATAAAGGTGGAGAACAGAGGAGAGGGGAGATAAAAAAAAAATTAGGAAATACTTTTAACCTCAAGAGAAGAGGACTCAGCATGACTCGCCACATATTAGCTTGGAAGCAGAGACTACCACGGTTGCACTGAGGAACTTGTGTCATCTAGAGAAAGATTCTCAATTTATGAGATTGGGCTCTCTGGGATTACTTACCCTGAGTTTCTCTAGTTCCCTGGAATACAAATCAGAATATTCCTTAATTGTTTTCCCTTGTGGTTCAAAAAAAGCAGAAAATGTTTGCTGTAAATGGAATAGGTGAAGCTAGCTTTAGTTTAAAATCCCTAAGCAGTAAATTATAAGAGTGTATGCTACTTGTTTTATTGTAAAGAACTGACTTACAAATCTTAGCTGCATATTGTGGCACCTTTCTTTCTCCTCATTTCTTTTAAATTGTATTTAAGTGTATGCAAATCTAAAAATGAATTGTGGTAGATACTTTGGGTTGGGTTTTATGGCCATCATCCATTGAGAAGCACCCTCTTCTTCATCCCCTTTTCTATAATTTTCATCTACAGATTGAGTCTCCAGAGTACTGTTTATGTGATAACACTTCCCCCTTCCCCCTTCCTGGTCATAGACTTTGATCCTCAGAGGAATTTGAATCAATCAGTCTCTTCTGGGAATTTGGAACTGGGAGAGAAATCCTAGTTTCTATCTGTTGAACACTGAAACTATATTCTAGACATGGACTTGTGACCCAGATGTGTAAACCCAAGATAAGGGAATCTACTCTGTAAAGAGAAAGACAGAAATGAAGCAAACTCTTTGAGAATAGTGGCCCCAAGCTGTGGTATTCCCAGAGAGAGACAGAAACAGAAAGGGGAGAGTCATTTTCTAGCTTTGCACAGATTTCCTGTGGCTCCCATACTGAGAGTGGCCTGCCTGCTTTTGAGTTCCATGGATCCCTATACTATATTCTCCTATTAAATTATACTTTGCTGTTGTTAGTTTAAGTGGTTAATTTTTTCCATTCTTTAAAATACATTTCT